TTTATACAATTTGAACTTTATACTGACTAGCTAACCTAGCCTAACCTAACCTAACTGACCTAGCTAAAATATATGTATCAAGATATATTTTCTACCGAATAAACATTTGAAAAATTGCCAGACTGAGGGGAAAAAAAACTTTGTTACCAATCCTCAGACTTATATGATAGTGATACAAGCCTCACATCACTATATTGAAGGCTCAGCTTATTGCAGACATCCACTATTTAATAAACTTTTACACTAACCGCGTAAAGTAAATTATTTTCTCATGTAGACATGTAGTTATGCCTGATGAAAACGATGATAAATATATAGCTTGTAGGCTGCATTATCATGTTTAACAATATTAATAAGAATTTTCACAATCAACTACCAAGTATTTATCATCATGATATTACATAATACGTAGTATCATTATTAAGATGGTTTGCTATTCAAATTAACCACATACAGCTTATTGATTAATTTCTTCACTCAATATAGTATTCACTTTACTATGTCGATAGCACAATATTACAAGCTATGTGAAACATTTGCAAAGGATACTAGATTACACGCATTGCTCAAATTCTATCGTCTGTTTCGTGGGATATTTTTTTATAAAGCACAAATTCAGTTAATTATAATAATTCGAAACGCAATTGTTCAGTAAACACCAAACCACTTACCTACCCATCTACCAACTAACATTTTGCTAAGGGCGGCTGTCCAAAGAATAATGCTCTCATCAACCTATACTGATGCGAAGTATATCGCTAACCGGATTTCTCGGCGGACCGTGCAGAAAATGCAAATACGTAATATTATAATATTTACGAATTTCAAAACTTGCAAATAATATTCGTCCTATTAAACCGACATAATTAGTATAACATCTGATCGCTAAAATAAAAAAACAGCTGATAATTTTTTATACATATCTGTACTATATTTTATTTTAAATACAGAGGTTTTCTATATCCGCGATAATTTACAGCGCAGCGAGTGAAAATCATTACAATTCGAACTAATTAAAACGAATATTTAAATATTATTCAACCGTATATTATTGCGTTTCTAGAATATCTGAAATCATAAATGCGGTCTTCGACTTACGTATTATATTCCGTGCAAAACGTAACGTGTTTGTGAAAATACAATGTCGAAGTTCGTTGGTATAAAAAAAAAATCCCCAATAAATACTTGAATAACATACAAGTATACAAATATACAATTAAGTAATTAAAGTAATTAATATACGTAAACGTAATACTATTACGATGGCCGTTTCTCCGAGGTGTGTATACTTACACGGATATAGGCATAACAAATCGTCGCAGTAGTCGCAGTAGTACTCGAGTCGCTTTATTGATAGACACGTACCATGCAAAATATTTTGTGAGTGTTTTTTTTTTTCTGTACACATTTCGGTGTACGTTTTACTTGCAAAAATTGTTTTTTAATCGTTTACTACGGCAGTTATATTACCCCGGTTGTGCGGTCGTATGTGCGAATAAGATTATAATGATAAATGTACGCACGTGAATTATAATTTGCATTTAATTGTATTTCGTTTACAGCGCCGTTCGAAAAATGTGTGGCAACAGGAACTGTTAAAAAAAAACTGTATACCTACAGGTGTTTAACAAAAAAAAAAAAACCGGAAAGTCGATTCGCGTGTATATGCATAACCGCCGTCGACCGCTAATTAGACAAACGAGTATATCAAATTATTTTTAATTATAGATATATAGGTACCGGTGCCAAAACTATTATGTATTTGTATAGGTTTTTTTTTTTTAAGAATTGAATACAATATATACATACACACATATAGGTGTAGTAATTTTATTTTAATTTGCTCGATTGAAATCTATTGTTTTCTCGCGGGTAATATATCTGTACGTCATTGTATGTTTATCGTATTATCCTACATTGTGTATATAATATGCATATTATGTGTGACGTTGGCTCAAAAAAGAAAATATATTAATATATTAACATACAAATGAGAAACTGTTTTTTAACAGTCAATTTACTATCGAGAAACTGCGATACAAATAAATGCGTGTCTAGTAAAGATTATATGTATGGCGTTAGTATCGAAGACGTACCTTTTCGGGGTTTCAGCCCTCGCTCCTTCCCATGTACGCTCAAATTCCGAGATTTTATAAAAGTGTAAATTGTAGTAATTTGGGTTTTCCACCTTGTTCTTAAGATTTTTACATTTCGTACAAAAATATGTCAAAATCTGTATTGTATAGTAATTGGCTATTTATTGTTTTACAAAGAATATTTTTTCTATAATACGAAACAAATGGAGAGAAATTCGACTCTACGGTATGGTAACGGAGCTTTGCTGCTCGCGGATGTTTTTTTTTTTTTTTTTTTTTTTTATTAAAATGCGTCCAAAACTACACTTTTTAATTTTCATGATATCGAATTATTATCTACATATATTATTATGGATTAATATTTATCGAACAAATAACGGCTTTACAATCGATATGCAGAAATTTCGTCTGTATAGCAGTAGTAAAATACAATGAGGCCATTTTAGAGCAGGGTTGATAAACAACACGATTTTAAAACAATGTTTAACTTTCTATAAAAAAAAAAACAAATTCAAAACGTATTTAATTTTACGTTTAGTCCGTGTTGTGTTTAGTCTTAAATTGTCATCTATTTTTCTCGTTATCAATTTCATTATTATGGTAACCTAACGCCCTAAACTATTTCGTTTTAAATTATTAATTAGTGATTTTACATTTTTACTAAAAGTCATTATTAGTATTGTTACATGTTGATTCTCTATACATTTATACTTATATGCTTATTGTTCATATTTGTATTTTTAATCCATAGTTAGTTAATGTTTTTTGTTTAAATAAGTAAAAGACTATCTCTGCCTTATAATTATTTGATTCGCAACCCAAATAGTTACTAAGGGAAACATTTTACAATTTCTATAACATTCTATAGTATTTCTATAGTATTTTAAAAACAATATACGGTGCCTAGAATCTAAAATGTTTAAAGAATTCGAATAATAATAATAATAATAATAATAATAATGATGATGATTTAAATGCATTAAACATATTTAGGTGCTCTTTAAAAAAATATTAACCCAGCAGATTGTAATTGATAAAGGACATGTTTTAAGTCGGCGATAAACTATAAATCAGATATAGCAAATTGTTAAGTTTACTATCTTTATGCAGTTAACTGTTTTGTGAACTTTTCCCCAGTCACAAGCAAATATCGAAATGACACCATCGCAAATACCTACATGAAATAACACAAATAACGATATACCTACATAGATTTCATCTTGTTATTCGAATATAAAAACGAAAAACTGTATAAAACAAGACCAACGAATCAAAAAATATTGCCGGCAAAATAGAATAAATTCAAGTCTATACAAAGCGATGGTATTTATTTTGTGGAATGACAATTGGTCATCGTACATTTTTTTTTTTTTTTTTTTTAAATCAACTGAATTGTATTATTATTATTATTATTATTATTATTATAATTCCAAACGGCAGTGTCACAGCATATTTATATGTATAGTGCGTGTACACAAAAATTTATATCATCAATGACGACCAATTAATTTTAGACTTTTATATGTGTTCGGACTTGGCAACTTCGTTTGTCCTGGAGTATTAATTAGACGGATAATTAACAGGCCATGTATTTTATGCATCCAGATCTTTTACTTATTGCCGCGTCGATAATGACCGTGCTGACAAAAAATGACTAGTTGTCTCGTTGATGTGAAATTAGACTAAATGGAGATTATATTAAATAAAGTCGCATTTTGACTTGAGGTCCGTATAGGGATAGAAACTTGAGGTCAATAAAAATTTAAACTGTATATTATATTGTCTATATTAGTTCAAACGGTCAGATATACCCGTTTAGTACATGGGTAGGTACTGTGTAAAAACGAAAAATGAAGTTTTTCGTTAAAATTCGGTGTAAAGGTTTTTATAAAAAGAAAAAAAATATGAGTAAATATGTAAAAGAACAATACAATTCCAATAACCCATATAAGAAATATAAACATTTTGAAACTGTTTGATTTATTTATTTTAGCCAAAAAACAAAATGGTTCCGAAAAACATACGTCAAAGATTATTTTTATTCTTTTTATCTAAATAATACTATGTATTAATATTCAAATTCACTCACTAAAATTCATAAGAAAAAATGTTGATGTGTATTTTGTAACTTGTATTAATATTTTATAAATTAATAATACAAGAAAAAAAAATCAGAAATCAAATTCACCTTATAAATAATACACTGGATCATTAGCAGAATTCATGACTTGTGCTATTTGTTTGTGTTACAATTAAATCTAGCAACGTTATTGGAAATTTGTGTGATGTTAAGAGTTCAAATATGAAATTTGAAAGTCATTTTTTTTGTTGTTATTCCATTACTTAAAAAGAAAAAAAATGTTTATATTATTTTTTTTTTCTGCATATTTTCTATTTTGTGATTATGTAAGATGACTAAAATTACGAAAACCTAGATTTTTCCTATAATTGTTCAAAAATTTGGAATTTGTATTAAATAATACAATGCGTATTGGTTTATTTTTGTTATCTTATCTACTTGTAACATCATCAAGATTTAAGAGTTCTATTATGAAATTTAAAAGTACTTGTTTTCGCATATTTCAAAAGTTAAAAATAAAAAAGAACTGCTGCTTAAGACAGGTGTGCTAGTGTTGTAAATGGAAAGTTTAAAAAGTATGTTCCAAAAAGTAATTTAATTTATATCTGTAAGCAACGTAAAACTATTGTTAACGAAATACGATTCTGAGCAAAGTTCAATTATACATGTTTTGAAATGCTGTAATTTTTTATAATTTCAAAATTTGATTACTTATAAAAAAAAACTACTATGCTACGACTTTTTTTATTTAGACCATTAAGTACAAATTATAGTTAACCTTGTGTTTAATTTTCAACCATTTTTGTTGATGCGGCACCCGAGCCTCACATTGACCTCTCAACTGTACATACGGTCACTTCATCAAAAGCCCAAACCTGAAACATTAGACCGTTCAAGTCTAGTGGAAATAGTGTTAGAAATCGGGTATCATGTTGCTCAATGGCAGAGCAATCGCCCAGTAAGAGACTCGGGCCGGTTGCCTGATTTACATCACTATTTTCCGGACTGAATGGCCGCGTCAATCCATGATCCAACAATTTTATCCATATAACACCTACTAAATAAACATTAAACACATTGCCAGGATATTTATAAAATGTTTCACCACGTCTCGAAAAAAGTTTTCTTTGACATTTTAACTTTCTACAATAATTATTAATCGATTTACAGCAGTATAATAAAATCGAAAATAATGAAACTATAAATGCAGTAAACTTCCCGCATTTCCTACTAGTTTTTTTCCCAATTGTTATAAATCTGCTTAGAAAATCAATAAGTTACTTACTTACTCACCAACTAGACCCAACATGTTACGAAAAAGGTCTCTTGTCATTTTTCTTCTAGAAACGAGATTTCTAGAAGAAAAGTTGTTTACAGACCGAAAAAAAAAATTAAACACACATAGTTAATCAATGCATTCCTAAAGCAGTGGCACGCCCATTAATTGCAGTATTACTCTTTTTACATCCGAATTTGAGCACACCGACTTAAATATAACATACGCCATACAGCGATATTTTACGATATTCTGCATCGGTATACATAAAAATGTTCTCTATAATTGACTACCTACTTAAATTATACGGTCAACCAAAAACGTCATAATTACCGGCATTGATTTAGACTATTTAGAGAGAGTGCTGATGGTGTATATATAATAATATATAATATATATATAACTACTACCCACAATATATTATAATGATACTATATTAGTGCAGCTGCTGTTTAATAAAGAAACTTTCAAATAGTTATCAACAACGCAAAACGACAAAACTCTTTACGCGTCGATTATTATAATATGTATAAATATTTTATTTATTTAGGTTACTAGTTTGCATGTGTATAATTTTAGATTCTGAGCGGAGCGAGGAATGTATTGGTTTTACAATGTTGTTTTGTTTTTTTTTTTTGTTTTGTTTTTTTTTTTTTATGTAAACACTTTTTCTACCAGAAACCTTACTCCGATTATCAAATATAACATATTTTCTGTAAGGAAATGTTCTGTGGGTGATACTTTAAAGAGGTCATTCTGTGAAATGCTGATTAATATTCGAGATAATGAGGAAAACCTGGTTCTTTAGGTTAAAAAAGATTGAACGATTAAAAATAAGGTCGTCGGCAACCGTTTTTATTTATTTTTTGTTATTATTTAATTTATATTATTTTAATATTTTTAAACAATCATTGTTGTCATGGAAACGCACATCGTTGTAATCATTTTACAATAGTATGACACACCATATATTGTATTATTGACAAAGCAACACTTTCAACTGAATTTCGCTTAGAACCGTTTTTTTCGTTAGCATTGGTTTATCGTTGCTTACAGATATACATTAAATTTCCGTTTGTATCCTACCTTCCCAACTTTTCCCTACAACAATGGCTACACCCACGTGCAAAGTATGTCCGCCTTTTATTATTATTATTATTATTTGAGAGTGCTTTTCTTGGACTGGATTTTTTTTACATATTTGGAGAAAAGGATTGTCCAGCGAGACACGCGGAAAAGATTAATATTCTATATTACGTATTAACATAACCCTATTTTGTTACAACAAAAATGGCGTGTGCAGAGGAGAATGGAGTTTAAGGTCAACAGCTATAAGCGTTTATTTAGTAATTTTTATCTAGAAATTATATATTTTAGCCAAGTTGAAATAAGGAAAAAAAAGCTTAATTTTTTTTAATCCGGCTTTAAAATTCTCAATGTGTCAGGTCAGATTAAGTAAGAATAATAAAAAAATTAGATCCTATGATTTATTCACGAATCGTAATTATTATTTAACATATCCTCTCCCGTGTTAAATTGCTATAATTGGATTGAACGTAATAAAATATTGAAATTTATTAAAAATATATGAATGAAATACACGATAATCTTAAGATTTTCACTGCAGTGCATATCAGAATGACGTCATAATATAACAACTTACTGTCGTCATTTATCATTTACACAACAAGCCTAAATCCTTCAAGTGTAAAACCCATATTGTAGTTGATGTGCAATAAAAAATTATTAAACAAAAAAAACCATCTGCTGTCCTTGACTCGGGTCCGAGTATGTACACGCGTGTCTCCCTGTAGGCTATACGTATTCTACAATTCACACGACTACGATTATAATGCGAATTTTTTTCCATACACATAAATACCTTAATGTTACAAAATTATTAATGTTCAAAATAATTGTATGTACGACATTTTCGATATTTGACATTGAATATAAAATATTTATAGATGAATTAGCGACCGTAACCAGTATAACATTGTGGTACCTACACAGATCACAGAGTATAATATCTAGTTCAAAATACGTATTTATAAATAAACTATGGTGCCCTAAAGGACTAGATATTACCATTCGGTAAGCCCATTTCGCCCATTTCAATATATTCCTATTCGATGTATGGATTTTTGTATTGGATTCATACTTTTGTTGTGTCGTGTTTTTTCTATAAAATATTACAATATTCCCGATACATTTTCAGACAAAAAGAATAAAAATAAGAACACTCCGGACTTCGATTGGTTTTTTATAAGTATCTATAATATGATAATTCAAAAATAAAATACAAGTTAAAAAAAGTTGACACTGCTGATAAGTATGCCATTGTTTTAAGAGGAAGTTGGAAGGGACGATTAATTTCAAAGGGAGTAATTTAATTTATATCAGTACGCAACACTATATCATTATTAATTAAACAATTTAAAATAATTTCGAACAAAGTATTAATATTTTCATTGTTTTCCTTGTTGCCAAAATAACCCAGAAATCAACAAAAACTATACAAACAAATTGCCAATTTTTCTCATTTATTAAAAACCTACAAGAAAAACTAAAAATTGTGTATTCTCAATACACCAACTACAGTATAAATCCAAAATTCTACAAGAAAGTTTTTGATTAGAGCAAGATTTTTGGTCAAAAAGTATTTACAGAAAAAAAAAAAATACATATTTCATAGTAAAACCAATACATTCCTCTCTTTGCACCGAATCTAATATAATTTATTAAATAATTTCTAACCTTCTAAACTATATATGAATACTATAGTTACAAGTAGTATATTAATACGGTAATTTTTTTATTTCTCTCGCACGTAGTGTATATTATATTCATCGAATAAATTATTTCCTTTTCTCCTCGACCCGCATAATATTTCCCTTGTCTTCTACAAGAGTTTTAGCTGAGTTAAAAGTAAAAGTTATTTTTTACTACTCTTATTCGGTCATAAAACAATTGAATAATAATTATCCAATCTTACCGATCATATATTGTACGTCACATCGGCGATACTAAATCGTTTCTTGTATCTTTGCTATCTATGAAATTATTAAAAATCCAAATCACTGTTCGAAAGCGTATAAATGATGTAGGTGATTATATAAAATTAAAATCAATATTCGAATTAACAATGTAAGAAATTTAAATAAAATGTGTCCTATATAAAATCGTATAAATAGTATCGTGATTATATATTATTAATATGTGTGAATTACCATTTTGTAGAAAACTCAATAAATCGCAGATATTTAAACAATTATTATTAGTATGGAAATGAAAACAAAATAAAAACAATTTTAACGGATTTTTACGGTACTGTTATGTTAAAAAAATATACATATTTAAAAATTTATATTTATGTGCCTGCAGTATAAAATTGATCGTAGGTATGGACCTGAATATAATAATATATTCACGTGTACTGTGTATACAGAGTGATAATGATGTGAATTTAAAAATGTGTATGCATTAAATAAACGTTTTTATTTCACAATATCAGTGTAATTATTATAGTAGGTATCCATAAACAAATTATACGTATTGTTTTTTTTATGAATAATCACAGGTTTAACTGTATAACGTACTTACTTTAAACTACAATTATTATATTATATAGAGTGTAATATCTCGCGTATTATATTGGTACATAGTGGCATCCATTAACATTAACAATAATAATTATTATCATTATTATTATCTAATAATAATAATAATTTTATTATTATTGTTAAATGTTCTAAACAATTCGAGTGTTGTACTAGCGTCAATTTTTATAAAAATTACGTTCACGTTTTTATACATTAAAAAACGTCGTTCGGTTTTCAAGCAGTAACAATAATTTTAGATTCTGATCGTAGCGACGAATATATTAATTTTACTATGATGTGTGCTTTTTTTTCTGCTCGTCAACAACTTTTGTACGTTTCTCCAATCATCAAATGTAGCATATTTTCCAAAAGAAATTTTTTTCCACTTGGTGCACTCTGAAGATTTTATAATTTTGTTAATAACTGAGAAAAACATACAAATTTACAGAACAACTTTTTCCGTTATTTTAATTTTTTTTTTTTTAATTCAGTTAAAAAAAATCGTTGAGACCAGCAATTTTCACAGAATACTTATATGTGCCCTTTCTAGACGTGGTAAAATATTCAAAACATCCAAAGCTATTTATGGTTATTTCACATTTTCACAATTTAGATTCGGAGCGTAGCAAGAAATCTATTGGTTCAACAATGATGTGTGTTTTTTTATTATTTTTTTTTTTTTGTTATTGTTTCTAATAGTAAAACAGCAAGAGACCTCTCTTATAGGATTTTTAATTTAGTTGGTAAACAAAAAAATCGTTTTTTAATAATAATTAGGAAACACCGGATTTTATCATTTAAATTTTTTACGTTTTTTTTGTTTTTGTATCAGAAATATCAGGATAACAATGTGATATCATTGTTTTTGAATTTTTAATCTAGTTGGTGAATAAGAAATTAATTTTTGGATTTTACTTGTAGTTTTTCTAATAATACAACAAAACCGAAAAAGAACGGGAAAATGTACGAAAATAATGATTTTATTTTGTCCGATTTTATTTTTTTTTTTATTATAATTCAATTATAAATATTCGTATACTTATGAAAGAAAAGTTTTCAGAGCATTTAAGGTATTTTTGAGATATTTATAGACATTTTAATTGTGTGAGTTTTTTCCATAATTTTTATTTGGTAGGCACTCTATGGATAAAATTGTTAGACTCGACAGAAATGCTTGAAAATTTAACAGGAGATTCGTCATAGGTTTTAATTAGTGATTATAAAAAATTTGAAAGTGATTTGTTGTTCTTGTTTGCTGCTGTTATTATTTTTTACACGCGTTTTAAATTCAAATTTCAACAAAAATCAGAAGAATCGTGGCATTTTCTCAGAATCATTTCGTTAGCAATGATTCATTGTTACGTATAGATATAAATTAAATAACTCTATGTATCCAATGTACCTTCTTAACTTTCCACCTACAACTGAGGAACATCCGTCATTAGTATCAGTTGTTTTATCTTTAGTTTTTACATCGCCTAGAACCTACGATAGCACGGGGAGAATTCCAAATTAATTTTATCTGTCTTTATACATTTTATACTCCGCCCTAATACAATATTCTTTATATTATGTTACTATATAACTGTTGCTGAAGTGTATCGTGGACATACTTATCAAACCGATGATATAATAACAATTCTGTACCTATGTATAAAAATATTGTAATTGTTAAAAAAAAATCCATATCAGTTAATTGTATATGATTAATTTATAAGCACTTGAATAATCAAAGATAATAATACTACTCAAAGTATGAAATATTTTCAAGTGAACACTGCAATTTCTTATTGGCTAACATAAATACTATCAGCTAATATCTTAGTTTGCACATCAATGAAAATTATACTATTGCTAAAATAGTTTATATATTATACAGTTTTTTTTTTAAATTAAATTAAAATAAAATATTTACGTTGTCCGATAATATTTTCGAATTATTAGGATGATTGATAAAACGAGGAAAATTAATATTAAAAAAATACACATTAAATATAAAGAAATATATAGAATACATAGAAAATGGTATATAAAATAAAATAATATTATAAAACTAAAACATATCGACCTCGTTAAGGTCATAGACACTTGGAACAAGAAACTTATCAAGGTCCTTGAGTTTATTATACCCGTATGTGCATTTTGTTTTAAAGTATGTGAAAAATTTCCTGTTGTTTTATGTGGGTGAATGCGTGGTAATGCGTGAGGATGAAGTCAAACCATCGCAAGAAGCTTCCCCTATCTATGACAGTGGTTAATTTAATTTAAAAAATATACATTTATATTTTAGCTAGTTTTATAATTTAACACGTGTAAATGAATAATCATTAAAATCTATGATGGTTATTAAAATGTATAGTAATAGTAAAGAATATTAGCTTTACAGTGAGTCCCTTAAACTGATGAACTCAAAAGGCATCAAAGTATAGATACAATATACAAAATATTTACTACCCAGAATTATATTTTATAAGAAATTATGATGCGGTGTAAATTTTTTAACTGAGTACCGACAAAACAACAAATAATTGAATTAGACGTTTTTAAACACCGTTATATTTTTTTTTTTTTTTTTTTACGTATCAAATTTGATTTCGATAAAATTTAAAAAATCATTATAATATTATTTAATAACGTATTGTAAATAATTTGAATAGGACGAGAGAAGATTCATCAGAACCGGTTAAGTTGTTTATCGCCCCTATAACTTATATTTTAAATTAGCTTTACTTATACTATTTTCAAGTAATTAAAAAAAGCATATATTACTGATGGTTACATGTTAAAGTAATTTAATTTAAACCTGTTCGCAACGATAATTCAATGTTGACGAAATAAGATTTTGAGTGATGATCGGTTTCTATCAATTTTCTTTTAACACTAAATACAACGTATAACAAACACCGTGTTAAATTTTTAAGCATTTCTGTTCGGTCAAACAATTTTATCCAATTATCCACATAAAAAAAGTTCATCTAAAATTAAAATTTAGTTCACCGATGTTAAATTTAACTATATATTTAGATTGCGAAATTTATTTTAATAGCTTTATATGAATAATTTGTCTAAACAATTGTGTAACATGAAACAAAACAAAATTTAAAAACTAATTTTATTCTTGAAATAATTGAACTCTGTAACATTATTTAATTGTCATAATTGTATATATTTTCCAATTATTAAAATTGTTTTTCTTTTCTTTTGTGTTTTTTAGGAGTTATTCAAATATCTTACCAAAGACGGCTAATTCTAGTGATCTAAACTTATAATAACACAGTTGTAGCCCCAGTTGTAGTCTTATATTTCGATGGGTTGAGACGAACACTAACGAGTTTCCAGAGCCTGAAAAACCTATCTAATAGTTGGTTCAAAGGCCGAAGGAGACTTTTAAAAAAGACAAATTGACTATTCGAATCGCAAGGTTTGAACTTACGCCAAAACCGTGAATAAAAGTATTTGGCAACAACAAATATTCTGATTACCCAAAGAAAGAAAAATATTTTTGTACTGTAGAAATTGAAATGTTGAAAGTAGTAGGAGCATCATGGGCTCAGACGCAACTATCATGGTGTTTGATTATTACAATCACCATGTTGGGTTTGATAGCCTTTTATTTTGGAGGAACGATCAGGTAAATAATTCAATTTTGTTCAATACTGAATACATTTATACAAAGTACAAAGTGTCGTTAGTTTGTTAAATTATAATATATCAATACCTACCTATTTAGAAATGAGTACGATGGTAAATATGCAGCAACAGCGTTTTGGAGCAAAGAATTTGGATTAAGAATCGATTTTTGTGGCCAAAATAATGACCCCCTCAAAGTTAGAAAAGGAGTAGCAAGAGCTTATTACAGACCAGATTTAACTAAAAATGGGTAACATATATTTTACGTATATTTAATGTTATCTATAATATCTATTTAAAAAAAACTTACAATTAAATTTAGATGGGCAGTTTTAGAAGTGGAGACTCAGGCGGAATATCCGGATCATATACAAGCTAAAGCTGCCGGACACTTGGAAGGGAGTTTGACGTGGCAGATGATTTATTGGCATTGGAAGAATTCAATAGAGAATACTTGCAACAGAAGAAAGAAATTTTGCGATCGAATTAGAAAATATTTGGAAGAGAATACGGACGAAATCAAACAAATAGCGAAAGAAAACGACGAAACCGACCCATTTTGGCACCAAGTATATTTTAATCAAAATTGTTTACAACCAATTAAAATATATATACTTATTTTTAATCATATTTATTAAATATAGGTTAATTTATATTATTTGCAACTGAAAGCGTTAGAAGAAGGTTGGCGATTTGGCGTAAAAAGAAGCAGACAAGACATCGACATACCGTCTGTAGACTTCTTGTGAGTTCACTTTTTTAGTACTTATATGGGGCTACAACTAGTTTAAAGTTTTTCAGTTAAAACTTGGAACTCGTTTGCGCACAAATTATTGTAGAAGGGAACCGCTCGATTGTGCACAGTGACGTTAATTTGGGCATAATGTCAGAAGTTGTAAAAATTACTCAGGATCCACAGACCTGTGGGGATAAAACCCCCACACCTCCCAATTATTATTATTAATATATATTATTATATTATTATTATTATTATTATTATTATTATTATTAATAATATTAGTATAAAATATATTAGAAATCTACATCATTATTCTTATATAGGAACAGGAAAATATTGTTTATAACTGTGAATTAAATCACATAATATTTTACAATTTAAAATACAAAATTCAGAATTTTCATATTGTAACTATCTCACTATCGTTCTCTTTTTAAAAATGTTTATAATATTATAAATTCATTCGTCTTTTTAATTTTTGTTTAAGAATTTTTTTTTGCTTTTCAATACTTAATAAATAAAATGTTCCATAACTTATATCAATAAAGTATAATAATATTAAATCAAATATTATCAGTAAAAATACGACGGCAAAAAAGTTTAAATCTAAAAATAGATTAATTTTTATTTAATTTCTGGTAGTGAAATAGTGAATTGTAATTGATTTAATATTGATAATAAATAATTTCAATTTTATCATTTTCGAACTTGTCTTTTTCTTAATTAAATAATTATTTACCTACCAATTTAAATTTTTTTTTTTTTTTGTTAACGAGAAACCATTAATACACACATTTCAGGGGTTGCAATTTAATACTTTTGTTACCCCTCAATCACGCCACTAATTACGCAGAACATATTATAGAAGGAACTACTTAAAGACATAACACACAAAAAGCATAAATTTAACAATATCAAAGAAGTTAAAATATTTACCTACTGATAGTTCTAAGTCTGTATAAGTACCTAGGAAGGAAAATATGTGCGCAAACGAATGATTGCACAAGAAATAATCTGTGCGCAATCGTGTTGTAAAAATGTGCGCAAATAAGTTGTGGTTTTAGTTAATATGCGCAAACTATGTGCGTCCTCTATAAGTTACCTAATAATGAAACTATACGCGCTCTTGGCATTAAATATTATGCTGATTTATTATAATTTTTACGTTTATACATTATTAATATACATAAACGTAAAAATGATTAATACCACTAAGTCTATTAATTATCCGATAAAGTAATAGATGTTTATAGGTTAGTAGCATTAATGCTCTACTTAAATGTTAGTATTAGTTTAATACCTACGTTTTATTGATATAAACCGATTTACCATACCTACTTCACAGTTCAACGCAATCTAAATAAATAGGTACACTTTTTGTAAAGTTAAATTATTAAAAAAAATAATTGGTAAATAGCACGTATAAAATACAATTGATTGTTCTCAGATGGATGAACATCATACCAGATTTAAACGACTTTGAAAAGAAGTGGAACGCTACGAAATACTTTAATCCGGATAAGCCACCGTTATCTACTACTTTCGTAAAAATTATCGACACCGATCCAATTGACTTTGTGTTAGCACAATCTACATCTGGATCGTAAGCAAAATAATTTATAACACAAACGCACGGACCTACGAATACAATTTAAGGAATAATAATAAACGAATATACAATTTCAGTTATGGGTCCATGTTGCGCATACAGAAACGGTACAGTTTTGGATATCATGAAACCAATAGCATCAACAGTGCGCTCATTCATGGAAAGATTGTCGAATTCACATCGTATCCAGGATCTATATTTTCACAAGACGACTTTTATAAAATAACTAAACGGGGTTCTCTGACGGAGACAACTGTGGTAGGTACGGAAATACAGAACAATAACCGACAACTCTGGGAAAAGATTATGAAATCAGATCAGGTATACATAAACGTGTACACGGTTAATAACTGCAACAGTATAAAAAAAAAATAAATAAATATTTTAACATCACGATTGTAATATAGGTTCTCTTGGGTGCCAGGGTTATGGCAGCAAATCGTTTAGCGAGCAATAGTAAAAAGTGGTACGAGGTATTTTCGAAGAACAATAGTGGAACCGGAAATAAACAATGGCTGGTCATCAGTGCGAATAATACATCAATCGAATTCGGTGTCATTGAACAAATGCCTGGTATTGTTGGCTACGACGAGCTTTCACAAACGGTTTTATCCAGCGGTTATTGGATATGCAATAGTTATCCCAGTCTCGAGGTCAGTCGTTTATTACGTCTATAGTATATACAATTACATAGATCATAAATATAAATTATACATATATATTTTTTTAGGTACCTTACTAACACAATTAGTCTATAACATTCAGGGCCGGTGTTGGGAGGTCGGGGGGGGTTACCCTTCCACCAGTGAGAAAAATGAATTTATAGTCGGCAATTATAAAAAAATTGCTGGCGCCAGCCCTGATAACATTTATGTGTACCGTCTCCCCTCGACATACTCGTATATACGTATACATACTCCGCGTAAAGACGATTTGGCACGGGTACGCGAATTTTATAGACTTTAAGATTAATGTTCGTTAAAATAAAAAAAACTACATTTGCCATTAAATTTCAGCATTGCTGCAAATTTTGGCGTATTTCGTATTACGCTAAAAACGTTAGAAAATAAAAATTAATTAAAACAGACCCCTTTAAATGTGATTACTCGACGAATCGTGTTTATTTAACCCAAAAAAACATTTCAACGACACAATTTATAATTATTATTATTTTAATACGTTAGTACGCAATAAATAGCGTTTCCTGTTTCCTTGTTTTTATAATTCGAATACGAAATTTGTGATAACAACTACCAACATTGAAAACGGAGATCAATGTGAAATGTTCGACGTCTTAAATAAAAACAAGCTTAATAGACGAACTAAATAAAAACTGAAAAACTGAAATGTCAAATACCTATAGATAGTTTAGAAATTTCCAGAATGTTTTGATAATTTTTCCATGGCTAGAAAAATCTTATATTCGTATTCTATTAAAATATCAGTTCTTTCCTATTATTTTTAAGCGCATTCAAACAAACAAACAAAATATGCAAAATCGAAAATAATGAATCCGATATTTCAGTACATTTTCCTGCTTTCCCCGAGATTTTTCCAGTTTAAAAAAAAGCTCCTACTCTTTAAATTTGCAAGATTTCTGGTATTATAGATAGTTGCAGCTGTATAGACTATATAGTTATTCTTAATATATAGTAAACTATCGGAATTCCGTGCGTCGACAGGTCGATAATTTTCTAAATCCCCTTTAAATATCGTATGCATATTTCTTATTTATTCCAAGTGGGGCGCTCGTTACATATTCGAGCCAACTTTAATAGACTCGTGATCAACCTCTGAGTTTTTGTCGCGATCGACCAAAAAAAAAAAAAATTAACAAAAATATATATTGTATACATATGTGTGTTACAGTTATTTTATTTATAATATTAATAATAAGTAATAATAACGTTTAATTTCACAACTTTACATAACACTTATTTGAATAAATTTGATAACGAATTAATTATGAACTAATGAATCAACTTCTTATTGTTTGATAGGATATATTTATTTATTTATTCATTGAGACGTTTGTGCTCGCATTTGATTTGATAATTTCACAAAATCTGGGATGTACGATGACAGAATACATATAAAATAATGAAATCGTGAAATTGTATGTTTTTCTCACTTCAGTGCTTTTATTTAAAAAATGTCGTCGAAAATCAAAAATTGACCCGTATAAAGTGCAATCTAAACAACTTGAGCTTTCAGAAAAGGTGCTACACGTAAAAATCGGAACAAGTTTACTAGGAAAAAACGTGTCCACAGACTAGAAGAAAGAGAGAAAGAATAAAAAAATAAACATTTTATCAAAACCAATGGCTCCCTCGCTGCGCTCGGAATCTAAAATGACGTATTTGTTTTCTAAAAAAAAAAATTTAAAAGGAATCGCACTCGACCTGTTGGCCACCCCCACCATATATAACCTTTCCAACTTTTCACTACAAAAACGGTCTAACGTAGGTCAGCGAAATAAAACAAACCTTTCTCAGAATACTAATCGGCGATCACTTTATTGGCAATCGAAATGTCGACAGTCTACACTGCATTGTCGTTACTACACATTGCTATTTTATTATCAATGCCTACACGTTTCCCGGTTTAACTAATCATGTCCCAATCGCAGCCCTTTAAATAATTATACATGACGGGTACACCACGGTGCACTGGTTTTAAACGAAACCGTTTATAAAACCGATATATTAACGTGTCGTCATTATTTACAGCAAATCGTTTACATCAGCAACAATAACGACGCGTACATGGCGCTGTACGACGGTAACGGCAACCCTGTGGCCACGGTACTGTTGGGCGGTCGGGAAACGGTGACCGACAAAGCATCGCTGGAGAAACTTATGCGAGGCGCCGAAATGTCACTGATCGGCCGGAGTGATCTGTTAGGCATCAAGACGATCGGCATGTTCCGCCGGCTGTCCAATCAGTCGTTCGTGGAACAGCTGATCGCGGCCAACAGACATCAGTCGGCCGGCTTTACGACACAACTGAAGGACGACCGGATGACGATCATCATGAACAAGTTGCCGGCATCCGCCGAAACCGACGACAAGTTGGACATGGACAAGACTTTGACCGGACTTATAGACTTGAAAATCGCATCGGCGAATACCAACGGTTTCTCCGCGCTGGCCGGGCCGATATTCACCATCGACCGCACCGAGGTCGAACCGTTCCAGTGGTCCGAGAGTCCGATAAGGCATCTGCCGCATTTCGGGCACCCGGACGTATGGGACTACGATATGGAGAGCATTAATTGGGTTTGGAACTAATCGATAAATATGCATAGTCCGTCGAGGTTTTTTTTTTTTTTTTTTTCAATTTTAAATCTTAACATCACGTCATCGCTAGATACAAGACCTTATAATGGAAAAAAATAATAATATCAACAACCTTTTTCACGCGAAACTCGTCTTGGAAATCCTGGTATAATGTGACACTAGATATTATAACCAATGATAGTACACTCAACCGTATAGAATGTAGAAAAAATGCACCAAACCTAAATATTCTTATCGTATTTTTTTTTTTTTTTTTTTTTTAGTATACCTTTTATAGACTAATTTATTTCCTATTATCCACCTGTTTTCTCATTTGCTTGTATTTGAATTATACGATTAAAAATGTTCTCATTTTTTAATATGTTACGTGATTTATTATACATAAATACAAATTATACTCAACTTAATTTTTCTCGTGTTCGATCACTAGAAATAGTATTTAAAACCTTCAAATTCTTATCTAAATTAACTTGTGTTTTTTATGGGCTCCATTTTTAAATATAATTAAATTCCTATTTAGATTGAAATATTTATATTATATTAAATGATAATATAAACGGAGTACGGGTAAGAATGGCCACCTGTATTGAAAGTACCGCGATGTAGATCGTTGGTGAGAGTATGAATATGCCAAAAAAAAAAAAGGAAACTCATGACGAGGGGGACGAGTTAGTTCAGAGAGTTATAACTTGTAATAAAAAACAATTAAAGCGTTGGCAGCAGAATAAAAATCAAGATAATTGAACAGAGTAAACAACACTGCGCAATGAAGCTAATAGGGTGATAAGCACAGCGAAGCTAATGAAATATTATGAGTCACAGGAAAATCGACGATGAAAACGGTGTTTTGTACCAGACATATTGTAGGAAAGCACAGAGAGAAGAATAAAAACAAAAAATATGGTATGGCTTTTTTAAATTTAGAAAAGGCTTATGACAGAGTGTCGAAAGAGGTTCCGATGTGAGCATTAATGAGGAAATGAGTTCCGAGATAGTATAATAATTTGATAGAAGACATGTATTCAAATACGAGTGTAAGAAGTGTATGTGGAATAACGGAGGATTTTGAGATTAGAGTAAGTACTAGGTGTGTATCATGGATCGGCCGTAATGTGTGCATGATATTTACAAATTATATAGTTTTGATAGGAGAAAATCTGGAAAAAGTCAACAATATAGGCTTGAGGAATGGAGAATATCACTTGAAATAAAAAGACTATAAGTAAAAATAGAAGTAAAACAAAGTATAAAGACTGTGAGTTTGGAGGAACAAGACAAGAGGTTGATACCTAGTGACAATAAGCTATGACGTAATAGGCGAGGTTGAGAGATTTAAGTACCTTGGATATTTTGTTCAAAAGAACGATGGCTTTGACGGGAATGTGAATCATAAAATTTTTAAAATAACCATTTTGTAAAAAATATTGTTCAAACAATTTTAATGTATCACACATTCATATCCGATGAATAGTTTCTTAATTATAGCCGTTTTAATTAGACATGAAAATAATTAATATTTAATAAAATAACACGTTATACAATAAAAAATTACAACCAGCACGGTAATTCTTTACCTTATATTGAATTTTAATTGTTTTCACGCCAATTTTCTAGAAATTAAAACCGCTATAATTAACAGACTATTAATCGGATATGAATGTATGATACAATAACATTTTTAGAATAATATTTTTTTACAAAATACCTTTTTTGGAAAATTGTCTAAAGTGAATAAATAAAGTTATTTATTTTTTTTTTTTTTTTTTTTTTTTTTTTTTTTTTTTGTATTTAAAGGATGAAAATAAAAATTTAATTTTTCTCTAAATCGATGTCGAAGACAAACCGATCGAAAAAACCTAATATTAACAGCGCTAGAAAAATCCGTCATATATGATGGGACACGCTATATATCGCACACGGATATCGGAAAATTCTCATTCAAGAGCGGACTAACAGATCTGAGTGCACCTTAATGCCGGATTTACGAACTAAACTTCTAAAGAGCATGGCTTACAGTCTCACACTAAGAGCAGACCCATCAATTATTTATGGTCAGGACACTTAACATATCTAGACATATATTTTGAATTTTTTTTTTTTTAACCACAAATTACGATTTGTGGACCTCCCGTAAATGTTTAAACATTTCTGTTTAGTTTAACAATTTTATCCACAGAGCCCTGCCAAATAAAAATTACGTAAAAAACCAGCAAAATTAAAATGTCTATAAATATATCAAAAATAATAGCTCAAATAATTTGAAAATTTTATCACGTATAAAAAAGACAAATATATAAGTTTTCTATCCAAAGTCTCTACAAATATTTTAAACTGAATTACATTAAAAAACAAAATTTAAAATATTACAAATTATTTTCGTATATTTCCCCGTTCTTTCTACGTATTTTTCGGTTTTGCTCAATTTTTAAAATAACTACATGGAAAACCAAAAAACGACTTTCTTACTTACCAACTAAATTAAAAACGCAACAACAAGGATTTCTTGTCATTTTTTTATTGGAACAATATTTCTGGTAGAAAACATAAAGCGTATAAATTTAAAATAATGAAATAATAACACCGTAAATATTTTGTCACCTTTGATTTTTCGTTTCTGTTGGTTCTTCCTAATTATTATAAAAACTACTTGAAAAATCAAATTTTTGATTGAAGCAAGGTTTCTAGTGAAAATCATAAGTTACAAAAATGCGTCTGTTTATCCCTATACGTTTTTCCGGTTTTTCCTACTTATTATGAAAACCACTTGGAAAATCATAGAATTTTTGTACACAATATAAAAAAATAAAAAAAAACAAACATACATCTTTGAAAAACCAATACACCCAGAATCTAATAATATAGTACATTATTTATCGATTAACATTCAACAAATGAAATACATTATCCCGTACATTCCGAATGTAACTCGTGGCGTGGGGCTGTGCAGAATGAACAAAAGGTGATTCTATATGTAAACCGAAATTGCGAATATTTCAGGAATTATTTTATGTGAGGTAGGTACCATAATAAAGTACATTTATATTTTGGAAACAATAGTAGTATACTTGCCCCTAGTGTCTCCCCTGGATCTCCCGTTGACTCAGACAAGATGTTTGCGCTATTATTATTATTATTATTTTCTCTTTTAATTACTTGGTGATACACGATTAATATTATTCCGAACGAAAAAACGATTCTGAACGTAATTTGGTACAATAAGTCGTGTTTTATTTTCCTTATTACTAAGGTAACCCAGCTAGAAATGAAAACAAATGGCCGATACTGTGGATGGATGCGGCTGCTGTTATAGGTGGGTAGTTGGAAAGGTGGTATACGAACGGGAATTTAATTTATACCTGTAACCAACGGTAAACCATTGCTAACGAAAAACGATTCGGAATGAAGTTCAGTTGATAGTATTGTTTTGTCAACAATACGATATATGGTATATGTCAAATTATGGTAAAATTATTACACCGATATGCGTTTCCATGACAACAATGATTGTTTAAAAAATATTAAAATAATACAAATTAAATAATAACAAAAAATAAATAAAAACGGTTGCCGACGACAATCTTATTTTTAATCGTTCAATCTTTCTTAACCTAAAGACCAAGGTTTTTTTCATTATCTCAAATATTATAGAGAATTTTAAAAAATGACCTCTTTAAAGAACCTCCCGTAGAACATTTCCTTTCAGAAAAAGTGCTATACTTGATAATCTAAGCATGCTTTCTGGTAGAAAAGGTGTTCACATAAAAACAAAATAAACATCATTGTAAAACCAATACATTCCTCGCTCCGCTCAGAAACAAAATTTAAAATAATAAAATAATTATTTTCGTAAATTTTCCCGTTCTTTCTACGTATTTTCGATTTCGCTCTACAAAGAAAATCAAATAACGACTTTCTTGGTTACCAACAAAATTCAAAATTTAACAAACAAGATATCTTGTTGTTTTTCTATTGGAGCAATATTTCCGGTAAAAAACATAAGTTGTAAAAATTAAAAACAATCAAATCGGTAACGCTGCGTCGCGCCATAAATATTTGACGTTTTACCGATAATTTTCTTTTCGAAAATCAAAAGAAGGACCTCTTTATTTATTAATTGTAAAATTTTCTTTCAGACAAAGTACTTGCTACTTTCCTAATCTGAAAACTAAAAAATCAAACAAAATTGACCTATTGGAGTGAATTGCTAAAAATGTCGATAAACGTTTCAAATGAAATACTACTAGGAAGTTATTTCGCACGTTTTAAAGCACTGTAGTAAAAAATTGCATGATTAAGAAAAATAAAAACATTTAAAAAAAAAAAACATAAAAGACAATTGTTTGAAAGAAGTATTAGGGATTTCAAAAACTTGCTCAAATACAGTACTATCAGACTAAAAATCTACATTTTTTTAAGGTATAACATGAAAAAATCGATGTATTTTTACTAACCATAAATGTTTTCCGGGGAAAAAAACAACACACATTTGTGTAAAACCTTCACCGTTACCAATTTATAGATCGACCCTGTGGCCCAGTTCATCCCTGAACTTGTACAACAATAAACCAAATGATGACCAAATAATGATATCAATTTAAATGCATATAGACGAAACCCCATTTTCTATATTTTTGTTGGAGTTTAACTTCCCCAAACTCATGTTACCTACGCCCACGATTAAAGCTAAAGGTTGTTAGCCACCCCCCCCCCCCGGTTCAA